GACTTTTAAGCATTTGTGGACAAGAGCTTAGCTAAACTTGTATTCAAGCTTAGCTCCTCTCCTATTTCCTACTTTTCATGAATGAAGTTCCGAATGACATGAAACATCACAGTATTTGGAGAAATCTATGCCACTCTCTACTTTGGCCTCACATTAACAAGTCCAAGCTAAAAATCCACACTATTTTTCTGTAGTTTCTGTAGAACACAGTCGTAATTTAAGATTTGATCTAATTGGCAAAACAATACAAAAAAACAAAAGAAACCCCAAGTGGAAGCATCAAATAATTTATACAACTCCAAAATATCTAAAAAGCATGACATGAGAACACTTTCCTGTGTAATCAAGTCTTCTGCTTACTATGGCCCCAAGGCTGCCCGCACCTGCTCGGATTCTCTCGATCCCTCAAACTGCATTTTTTTGCTAAGGTGCCTGTGTGGTTTCAATGTGAAGCAATGGCAGTATGTCCCAGCAGATGCCCAGCAGCCTGAGAAATCGAGATATGCTGAGACCAAGGCACCCTGTGCTTTTGCTGAGGCCTGCTTGACTATTCCTAAACCCAGTGAAGAGGTGCAAAACACCTACTTGCCTGTGAACAAAGTTTCCATAAACTTCAGTGACATGTCAAGGAAAAACAAATCCATGCAGCTTTAAACTTTCCACTTTCTGCTCCAGTGTCCAATCTTTTATTGTTACTTTGTCCCTCAAATTCAGCTTTGTATATATATATTTTTCAAGTTTCAAACAGATTTTGGAGTTTTAGGAGGCCCAATGAATGACACCTTGCTTTCTCTACCCAAGATTGAACCAATTGGAGAGACAAAACAGTGAAAGACAGAGAGCAAAATATTACTTCTATTACTGAGGAAGGGTTTTGGGTGACCTCTGTGAGTAGCAACAGTGGGCTTTCTAACTTTGAACATTAGAACTAGGCAGACCTGCGCACTGGGTCCCAGGCAGTCCTGGAAAGCCCTATGCCTCCCAAATTAAGCTGTTCCTTTAAAACTTACAGCAAAGAAGAACAGATGAGATGAGCACTTATAGTATCTACAACAGCTGGACAGGGACACTGTGGAAAGAGTTAAGCTACACATGCTCAGTTCCTTATCCCAAACTCACCCATCAGTCATTCTTCATCCCTAGGGCTAGAAGGATCACGAGGGCAAGAGCACCAGAAGTGGTTGACAGTGGAGCTCCATCCGCACAGAGGGAACTAGCAAGAGTGAGAAAGTGCATCCCCCTGCTTACAATTCAATAGGGAAAACACTAACAATGGTGCTAATGAGGCAAAGAACAATATAAAATAGAGATTTTTCTATAGAAAATTAGGCAAAAGACAGACAATTAACAGAAGAAATCCAAAGTATAAATAGCTGAAAATTGTTCAACTTCACTTGTAATCAAATAATTGAAAATCAAAATAATTATGATACTATTTTTCCACTGAAGTAGTGAAAAATGTTATAAAATTTCTAGAAATTATTTCAATCAAGATATTTAATGTGTTTTAATGCATTAAATTCAGTTCTGGAAATATGGTAAAAGTAAATGATGATAATGTGGACAAATATTTAAGGGCAAACATGTTTCTAATAGTGTAATTTATACTAACAAAAATGTGATAATAACCTCAATATTTAACTGTGGAATACTGGCAAATTAATCGTAACGATGGACTATTATGTGGCTATCAACATTAATCTTTAATAAAATTTAACAACTTTGAGCAATGCCCGTGATTAAATATTAAATTAACAAATCAAGATATACAGATCTCTGTGTGTATGTGTATTTAGTAATGTAAACTTATGAACATCTGTCTGTATGCCCAGCAAAACATAGTAAGAAATATATAAAACCTAAATCCTACTTTAATTTTAATTTTTCTCTTTATACTTTTATATTACTATATAATTGTTAATTACATATAAATTAATTTTCTACAACAAGCATATGTTACCCTTTTACAATTAGGAAAACATGAGCACTTAAAACGTCATGAATTTTAACACAGTTTAGCCCACAGTCATCAATTACACTCCATAGAGAAGAAACCATCATTAATTGCACTCCATAGAGCAGGAACCACAGGAAGTAGGAGGCTTTTAGGGAGCAGCAATAAGAACCACAGAGCAGAACTGAAGTGAAGTAGAGGGTGATTCAGTACCTAACCATGGCTTTTAGCCGTCAGCATTGTTATAGTCATAGTGAATATTCATCTAATTCTTACTGCATCCCACACAAAGTTTTTAGAACCTTGCATGAAATAACTCATTAAATCCTCACAACTCTATGAGAGTGGTACTATTTTATTAGTTTTAGTTGACAGTTGATAAAACTCTGAGGCAGAGTGAGAGTTTTAACTTGTCTGAGTTCTGATAGCCGGTAAGTGCAGAGAGCAGGCTCTTATTTAGGGCAATCATATCCTAGAGTCTGTGCTTTTAATTCCACTGCCTCCGTGCTGGCATTTGTTCCCCCATGTTATGGTCCAGGAAGGTATTTTTGGTACAGTGGGTACTCTTGTAGGTTCTTTCCATACAACAATCTTTATGACCTTATTCATTGTGAGGTCCCCAGAAGTTTGATAAGAGTCAACTCCAGGATATTTGAATCTAAATTCCACATTCTTCCTACCTGACCATGCAGAATACCAGAATAACAATTCTCTTTTTGTTATTATGAGAGTGAATTTTCTCATTAGTAGGATAGTTACACTAAGAGGCCGACTTTGCTTTGTGTCCTGTGTCTTGATACACACACTCCTGCTTATGAAAGAGTTAAAATTTTGATTAATCATGAACCATTTGTGTTTTATTTTCAAAGAGGGTTAAGAAATAATAATGTAATGTAATTAGAAGACCAAATTGTATTATTTTAAATATTATTATTTAGTTGGATTGTGAATACTGCTTAGAGAGAATTGGACACAAGAAAATCAACTTCCAAAGTTGAAGGAACATATATTCCCACATACCTCGTTACTTAAAAAATTAGTCATCAAATTTTGTAAGTAGTTTGTATAGATTAAAATAACATGGTGAAAAATATTAACTCAGTATCCTGAGCTTTCATATGCCCCTTATGAAAGGTAGCCAGATATGCCATTCAAACACAGTCTGAAAATAAAGGAACCTCCTTTCTTTGTGTCATAGTAGAAGCCAGCTTTAGGAAGCCCTGAACACACTGTCAATACATAATGAATTGAGAATAAATTGAAAAGCGAAATAAATGACAGCTCATTACTCTCACTGATGAAAACAAATTAATTATAGCAACTGGTTGGCAGAAATAATGCTGTACAAGGCAGGCAAATACAATCTATTTAAGTAGCTCATTGATTGCAAAAGAAATTTAGATCATATGAAATTTCATTAAGGAGCACTAGGTGCTTAGAGTCTTTGTTACCACTGACAGCTTCATACTATGTTCTCATAGTACTTTATATTTTTCCAAATATTTTGCCTTAGTAAAAATTATAGGTTTATAGTGCTTTAAATGCAATCTGTGGACCAACTCTTGTGCTACAAGTCCCCCCACTTCTTGCAACACTCAGCCGTCTTAATGATGTCAATTCTTAGCCGTTCAAAGAAAGAAAATAATTTTCGTGATGGACTAGGTGATTTTCTCTTTTCTCAATTAGATAGGCAACCTGTTATTAAACAAATATGTTCACGAGAAAACTTTAATTTTGAAGATACTATCTTAGACAACTTGCAAATGGAAATTAGGGAGGATGCACCAGTGAAATGGATGGATGATTAAATATCAGACTTGATTAAACTCATTCCACCAGACCCCAACGTGGGGAGGTGATGATATTGAGGAACAGCTGACCCCCACCCAATGCTTCCCTGTACCCCACACCCCATCAGAACATGGTTACAACTCTAGGGAAATTGACTTATGTTAGGTTTCTGCTTCTTAAAGGAACAGAGATTAAAAATAATAAAGTTTCAGAAAAAATAAAATTTATGTTTTTTTGTTATTTAAGTTTGCAGACCAGTGAGGGAGAGAATAGACAGTTAACAGATTTTACACACACACACACACACACACACACACACACACACACACACACGGTATAATGCTACTGAATTTCAGGAGATATCTCTAAATTATGTGAGCGAGAAAGGCCTATCTGAAAAGGTGATATTTAAGAGGAAACAGCCATGTGTTGCTAAATCATGGAGATATATTCTGAGAAATGTGTCCTTAGGTGATTTCTTCATTTTGTGAACATTATGGAGTTTACTTAGACAATCCTAAACCTAGATGGTACAGTCTACTACGTGCCCAGGCTATATGGTATAGCTTATTGCTTCTAGGCTACAAACCTGTATGGTATGTTCCTGTACCGAATACTGTAGGCAACTGTAACACAGTGAGAAGTATTTCAGAATCTAAACATATCTAATATAGAAATGGTACAGTAGAGATACTGTATTATAATCTTATGCAACTACCATACTATCATCATACATGTGGTCTGTTGCTGACTGAACCATCATTATGGTGCATGACTGGATGTCATAAAATTTTTGGAAGAAAGAACACTCTTGGCAGAAGCTACAGTACATGGAAAGCTTTGAGGCAAGACAGACGTTGTGCTTAAAGAATCTGCAAGATGCTTGTGTGTGTGTGTCTGTGTGTGTGCACGTGTGTGTTTGTATCATAGTGAGAGAGGATGTGAGTAGAATAGGATGAGGGGAAACACATTTCCTTCCCAGAATACTCCACCCACCGGTAGCACTGCAGAAGTAAATTTAACTTAACCAGACCCCTGATCCAACTTCAGTCATGTTCTTTCTCTCGGAAATTTGGAATTGGGACACAGATTCTGGGGCAGTCAGGGGTGGTGGGGAGCTGTGCTGCACTGTCACATTGTGTGGGCCAGTGTCAGCTTCAGGGGGAGTTAGAGCCACATGGAAGTCAATGTCATGGAAAGTCAGAAAGAGCAGTTTTCAAGAAAAGGCTTTTTTTTTTTTTTTTTTTTTTTTCAGAGAGAACAAAGGAGCACATGCTCAAAAAGAAGTAGAAGTGGGAGCACCTGTGGACCCAGAGACTGACCATCAAAGAAAGTAGTTGCCTGACAATTTTCCAGTTTCTGCATTCCTGCTCTTCGTACTCCATTTGAGTCTACGGTGGACTCCTCCCTCCCCATTTTGGTCTGCTTAGCACTCATTTATTTCTTCTGCTACTTATGAACTCTGGTGAGACTGTTAATTGTAGTGTCTCTCTGGCCTTTTGGTCCAGACATGGGCGTGTGACCCAGTGAGGGTTGCTCCTAGATTTGGTATGTGGGCACTGGGAGAAAAAGCTCTCTCTTCTTTTTGAAGCATGAGCTATACGGGATGTAGGTTTCCAAAGGAGCTCCTTTCTGCCATGTGTTGAGAGGTTGCCAATAGTAAAAGGATGAGGCCAAAACACAACAGAAGCCTAGACAAGTAAAGCTGAGTGGTTTGAGAAAGAGACAGAGAACCCTTACAACAGTCAGAGATTCAACACACATTAGCAAAAACCTCACCCTTCTACCTGAACTATTTTGAGAGAACCTCTGTTCTTTGCAAATAAATTGTCCTTAATGGAGTACTCTGCAATCATTGAATTCAGTTTTTGTTTTATTTTGCAGATAGGAAAGTTAAGGCCCAGGGTGGCTAAGTGACTTCCTCATGACATTTCAGCATTGACTTGTGGCCTCCCAAACACAAACCTAGGACCTGTGAATACCAAAATCTGGGGATACTCAAGTCCCTTATATAAAATGGTATAATATTTGCATATAACCCATGCATATAATCTCTAGATTACTTATAATACCTAATACCATGTAAGTGGTATATAAATAGTAGTTATACTTTATTGATTTTTATTTGTATTTTTAGCTGTTGTATTGTTGTTTTTATTGTTTTTTTATTCCGAAATATTTCCCATCTGCCATTGGTTGAATACAGGATGCAGAACTGGAGGATATGAAGGGCTGACTGTAGTTAGTAAATTCATAGATAAGGATCAATCTTATCAAAATCAAATAAATGTATGTTAAAAATGTAATGTCTTAGCTACTAAATTCATTTTCCCTAAAATTAACAATATCTAATACTAGAAGCAGCATCTTCAAAATTGGTTGTTCATCTGGGAGACTGTGGTTAAATTTCTTTTTTAGGCTTGAAGGCGTCATAATGCCCACAATATATTTATTTTCTCTCTTCTTTGGGAAAAGAAAAATTGTGACTTTCCTATTATTCTGAAGTAATTCCCACAAAGACTTCAATACACCTTCCTCGGAAAGACACATTTTGCATCATTGCAACAATAAGTATTCATACATTGTAAGGCTTGCAAACTTCCACTGAGAACGCATTGCTCAAAATATTTGCCAGTTTGAGGTTTAATGACACCTCAAGTGACATTATGTGTTTGCTGTCACTCACATTTCCTAGACGAATTTTTAAGGGATGGAAAGAAATCCTCTAGGTTGTAATAGAACCCCAGTTTTGAGGGGTTATTATTTTGGACCTACAAAAAAATTTATAATCAGATAGCTTAAATCAGTGTGGTAATATTTGCATGCTGTACTGTAATATTGTTTTGCATAAAGAATAAAGGGACAATGAAATAACACTTTGATAGTTTGTTTTAACACTTGAAATTTTAAAGTATTTGTTTCATTGTGTATTTTTCAAAATGCAGACATTAGGCCTGGCTTAAACAGTGATCCTGTTTTGGCAGGCACTCAATAATATTGTACGTGGCACCATTCTTTGGAAAAATTTTTTGTGTATCAATAACTTAAAAATATTATGGTCCGGGTGTGGTGGCTCACGCCTGTAATCCCAACACTTTGGGAGGCCAAGGCGGGCGGATCACCTGAGGTCAGGAGTTTGAGACCAGGCTGGCCAACATGCTGAAACCCCACCTCTACTAAAAATACAAAAAATTAACTGGGCGAGGTGGTGTGTGCCTATAGTCCCAGCTACTTGGGAGGCTAAGGAATGAGAATCGCTTGAACCCGGGAGGTGGAGGGTGCAGTGAGCCGTATATATATTTTTATATATATACACATACGCACACACACATATATATACACACACACATACATACACACACACATATATACACACACATATACACACACATATATACATATATATATATATATATAAAATGGCCAGCAGTCTATCAAAAAATTAGTATAAATTTTAGAAAATCTTAAATGAATGAACCTGTCCATTGCAGTAGTTTTTATAGTGATGAGCGGTATGTACTGAGATTCATGCACTACGCTGAGGACCCACAAGTGCTACTGCTTACTATAAATAAAGTAGGCACCATGATGGCACTATACACACACACACACACACACACAGAGAGAGAGAGAGAGACAGAGAGAGACAAAGAGAGAATTTATTTTAAGAAATCAGCTGACATGATTGTAAGGCTAGCAAGTCCAAAATCTGTAGGCTAGACTGGCAGGCTGGAGACCCAGAAAAGAGTTGCAGTTCTTGTGTAATTCTGACAGTCTGATGGCAGAATTTCCTGTGTGCATGTTTGTGTCCTAATACCCTCTTCTAATGAGGACACGGTCATACTGGATTAGGGCTCACTAATTTTGGTGGGCCTTATGGACAGATATGGAGTAAAAGTGATTTGCCATATCAGTAGCTACATACCAGGTACTAGGGGATGAGTCAATTTGTTCAAGTAATGGAACCACATCTGGTACAAAACTGCAATTGAAGTCAACACTTTGTTAAGCTTACAATAAACCACTGTCATCCTCCAAGATCCTGCATGGGCCAAATACACAAATTGAATTGGGGATGCAGAGGGAATCACCACCCCTGCATCCTTAAAGTCCTTGATGGTAGCACTAATTTCTGAAATCCCTCCAAGAATGCAGTATTGTTTTTGGCTAAGTATTTTTCTGGGTAGAGGCAGTTCTATTGGCTTTCACTTGGCCCTTTCCACTATAATAGTTCTCAGTCTACAGGTCAGGGAACAAATGTGAAGATGCTGTCAGCTGCTGAGTATACCTATTCCAATTATGCATTCCAGAACTGAGGAAATAACCACAGGGTGAATTCAGGGACCCAATAGGCCCACTGCAAGATTAACCTGAGTGAAAACTCCATTGATCACCTACCTGACCTCCCTAAGTCCCTACTGTGATTGGTGAGCCAGAATGATATTTTGGGTCTCCTGGAATTAATGTCAGTTCAGAGCCAGTATCAAGTAATTTTCCAAAGCTCTGAATATTTCGTTTTCCTCAATTTACAGTTACCCTGGTTAAAGGCCAGTGGTTCCTTTGGGGAAGTCCGAGAGAAAGAGTAATAGTATAAATTTTTGGTAGTGACCTGTGTCCTTCTTTAAGGGGACCCAGACTCCCCTTTATTTCTAAGGGGCCTTGGGTTTGTAAACTGGCTCAACTCTGGGAATTGATTGAGGAGCTGTGAATCTGTTTTTGTAATTCAGGTTAGACTTTTGTTCACTTCAAGTAATAATTTACTAGAGTTTCTGTCTATTTCATTTCTAGGAAGTCTGTGATAAACCTGCCAAGGTCATAGGTCTGCATGTATAGACTATTCTGATTGCTGCTTTGACTCTGTTGTCCGTTACCTGGACATGTAACCATGTCCATCTTGCTTTGGTGATAGAGTGCTGCCACTTGGCGCCTATGACCCCAGGATCTAATTACTCCCATTGCACTTAGGTTTCCCAATCCAGTGGCTACCGTCCCCATTGTAAAGTCTGGCCTACAGAGAAAAGTGATCACAGGGCTCTTCAAGGATGTTGGGCTCCTCTCACAAATTTGTTTCTCACAGTTGTGAAAAGTATGTCTTCTGGATTCTCCTAGTGTGGGGGCGTAGGTCTTTAATGACAAATTCACTCTAATATTCCAATCTCTCTAAGCTTTTAATCCCTTCCTCTATATTACATGTCTGGCATTTCCAAATCACTCATCTTTTGGTCCATGTTTTATGCAACCAACTGACCAAACTGTTAGAGCCCTTTTTTGACTTTCTGTGCTGCAATATGATATGTAGAACGTCTGTATAGTGTGCTCATTCAACCTAATCCAACTTTATCTTCCTTCAACCATAATTCCACACTCTTAATATCCATTCCCACACATGTTCCTCTGATTTGTGTCTGTAAAAATTAGAAAAATCAAATAGTTATTTTGAAGTCTAGTATGCGTTTTTATGGGTCATACTTTGTATCTCATCTTTAGAGACCTGCTGGCATTTGAGTCTACTTGTAGGTCCAGAAGCAAAGAAAAGTGATGTGGATGGGTCTTGAGGGGAATTAGCATTGTCTTACATGGCAACTGCCTCAGGGGAAGTCATACTGTTTTCTCAGGAAATGTACAGTTAATCCAATCCCCTCATACAGGGGATACCACTAGGGGTAGGGAGACTACTTTCTCTGGCAAAGAAGACTCATCAGAATTTAGGAGCTCAATGTCCCAAGCTTCATTGGGTTCTTCATACATGTCTCCATCCCAACTTATAGAATCCCATATTTTTCCCAGTCAATGCTTTCACTTTAACAGTAGACACCCTGTGAGGTTGGGAGTTCAACTTACATTGTAATTTAGGCAGTCACTGGATGAGATTTTGCATTTGACTTTCAGCAATCTCAACCCTGCAGCTACAGAAGATAAGGCTTTCCTTCAGGGCACCCATAGAAGCCTTTAAGTCATTCATACAGCACTTGAACTGGGAAATTGAATCCCTGAGCTCATCCCATCCTTTCACCACTTTGTCTAGTGACCTTAGGAGTAACCAAACAAGGTCATTATATTTGTTTATTTTCTAAAAATGTTCAAAAGTACATACCCAGTTCCTTGTCTCTTATAAGTGGTTTGTTGGGTATCCAACGCATATATTTTTCATGTCTCTATTATAATTCATGCCATGGACTATCAGTGTGAAAGGACACAAAGATAGATGTGTACCCGCCCCCCACCCGCTACACCCTTGTTCTGCTCTCTAATCTTTGCACATACCAGAGATTTCGTAAGTTCTGTGAGTACCTGGTTTTCTGCACGTACCAGAGATTTTGTTTTGCACATACCAGAGATTTTGTAAGTTCTGAGGCAAGGTCACAAGACGTGTTTAAGTAAGATAAACTCTTGCTGCCATAAACCTGCTCTCCCGCCTCAAAGTTTGAACCAAAATATCAGAAATGGCAGGAACCAATCATAGTTAGCCAAATCGCCTTGTTCAAACACTAGCCAATCATATATCTGATTTGTATAATAACTCTATGCCCACTTTTCTTAGACTATATAACATTGTTCGGAGCTGAGTGGGGGAGCTCTCCTGCCCGTCTCGTTTCACGAGCAAGTGAGAGCTCCAGGTTCGAACCTGTAATAAAGATCCTTGCTGCTTAGCTTTGACTCTGGACTCTGGTGGTCTTCTTTGGGGAATAAACGGTCTGGGCATAACAAGTGCACTCTTTACTATTGGAAATAGAGTCATTAGTGTCCTTAAATCTAATCATATTAGAGATCCAAACCCAAAACCAATTTAGGCAGCTCATTCTTAAAATTATCTTTCTCTGGAATCATTCTCAGTACTAAAATCTACTAAGGATTCTCCAGAGAAGCAGAGCCAATAGCATCTATCTATCTATCTATCTATCTATCTATCTATCTATCTATCTATGTATCTATATAGATATATACATTTATCAAGAGAGGTATTTATTATAAGTTATTGGCTCATGTGATTATGGAAGTTGAGAAGTCCCGTGATCTGCTGTCTGCAAGCTGGAGATTCAGGAAAGCAGTGGTGTATGAAGGCCTGAGAGCCAGAGGACCAATGATGTAGATTCCAGTCTGTGTCTAAAGGCTTGAGAACCAGAAACATGGATGGCAGGGGAAGATTGACGTCCTAGCTTGAGCAGTCAGACTGAGAATACATTCAAACTTCCCTGTTGTGTTTTGTCCTGTTCAGGCCCTCAGTGGATTGGTTAATGCCCATCTACATTGAGGAAAGCCACATGTTTTACTCAGTTCACCAATTCAAATAGTAATTCTTTCTGGGAATGCCTTCTCGAACACCCAGAAATAATGTTTAAGCAGACATCTGGGCATCCTGTGGGCCAGTCAAGTTGACACATAAAATTAACATCATACTGGATGAATAGAAATGCAAGTTTGCCTACTTTTTCTACTCAAATTAGGAATATGTTATGCTGAGAGGAGCCGGGCACATTCCTCAGCCCCGGGCTCAAAACAAACAAGCCCAATACAAACACATCCCATCCTCCCATCCCACCACATATCGCCATATATCTCTCAAACTTCCTGAGCCCAGTACAAACACATCCCATCCTGCCATCCCACCACATATCGCCATATATCTCTCAAACTTCCTGAGCCCAGTACAAACACCACCTGGAAAAGTCTCCGATAAGGAGGCAGCCATTCAAAGTTTTACTGAAAGCACGGGAACCAAAAGAATTCCTTTGTTCCCCTGTAACTTTCGGGCTATAAAAAGCAAACACTCACATTGTTCGGGGCCCTCTTGTATGCTGTGTAATGGAGGGACCAAGTTCGAACTTGTCATAAAGATCCTTGCTGCTTGGCTTTGACTCTGGACTCTGGTGGTCTT